GTTTTTCAGAGGGCATGGCTAGCAATTCCTGAGGCTAGCCAATATTTAGCATTTATTTTTTTTCTGGAATTAACTCATCAGTGACGGTTCGGAAGAAACATCCGTCACAGGTAACCTCACCTGTGACGGACTCGCAAACGTCGGACCGTCACAGGTGACCCACCTGTGACGGCCTTTAGGGCCCGTCACAGGTGGGTCACCCTGTGACGGCTACTATATACCGGAGATCATCACCTCTGACGGGCCTTTATTTAGGGGCTCGTCAGAGATGAGACACCTGTGACGGGTCCTAACAAGCCCTAGTCTAGCTTAGACCAACACCTCTGACGGCCTTCTATTAACTTGCCCGTCAGAGGTGGATGTCACCACTGACGGCCGGCCACCCGTCAAAGGTGACTGGACTTACCAGTGACCACTGATCACTGACCAAGCCCAAAACCGTCAAAGGTGAGGGTTTGGGCCCGTCACAGGTGACCTTGACCAGTGTAGTGCCGGTACGAATCAAGAAACTACTCGGTAAATCAAAATCTTGTTTTACTAAAAAGTATATGAGTTTCACCTGTTTTTTGGTACATACATGTGCTTCTACACAAAGTCGCTTAGGCAGTGTTTGTCAAATGGAAAAGGGAAATGATTTCCCACCTATCTTTATATCCTAACCATTCATTCTTCCTCTTTCATTTAATTCTAACCCTTTATTTATTTTCTAATCCGAATCCAACCCTCCATTTTCCATTATCTAAACACACCCTTAAGAGTTGTATTCGGTGACCGTATGGTTTTCAAACTGTAAGCATGTGGTTCTTTTAAACCGTAAGATTAGCCTCTAAACTGGGGATGCAGGTCCCTCTACAGTGATTGCAAACAACTCTATATGTACACAATGATCTAACTCTTGTGCTATAGCTATTTAAATTAGCACATTAGCTAGACACTGTAACAATAGTGTTCTAACAACAATTAATTTACCACCGAACACTTCTTTACCATAGCATTATGATTTGTACCGTTCAATGAAGATCCAACGCATTAAAACATGAGCTAATGCAAGGTACTTTAGCACCTCTGAATTTTCTTCTTCAATGTAGAAGGATCCCGATCCCTAAACTGGACAGTTAGTTAAAAGAGCTTGCCAAATTCAGATGCATGCACAAGCATTAACGGCGGTTAGTTTAATTTGGAGTACACACTGGCAGTACGAGTACGAATCTTTTTTTTCCATTTGCCAAATTGGCGTCAATACAGAATACACTGTACATCTATCATTTTTTCCTGGGGTGTACTGGTGAACAGTTGAACACTGACCAGTAGAGTTGTGTCGTATGGACGAATTCAGTGGCGGCTGCAGTGATATTGTACTGTAGATGCATACGAGAGAGGGAGAGAGAGAGAGACACTGTTTCGATCTGGTCGTGTCAACCCCTGCAGAAACGACGCAAACTGGTAATCGATTTTTAAATTGTCTGTCATTTTCCAGAGATTTATGATCTGTGGTTGTACTTGACCTGTTTGCTGGTTGTTTGTGGATGGACTTGCTGTTAAGTTTGAGACTGAAATTATTGAAATCTTGGCCGTGTTTGGTTGCAGGATGTTTTCTCGTATGTTGCATGTTGCACAACTTCGCTTTCCATCGGGTTGTTGTTAGCAACTTTTTTTGACAAGTTGACAAGCACGATCGCAGCACCTTAAGCCTTGCGGTGATCCTAGAGTCGCCAACCACCTCGATCTAGCAAAGAGCTAAACCTAGATGGGTTTTGATAACTAAACCGGCTAGCAGAGCCGATTTCTAGATAACTACCCGTCTCGTGGGCAAAACAGAAAGTTTTCAGGACAAACCTACAAAGAGGTGTCGCACTCTCGCAGCGGCGGCGGACGGTTTACGGCGCAAACCGACAAAGATGGACAAACTAAGAGAAAACTAAAAGCAATATGAAAAGAACGATTCGATTGATTGATAGTAGATTGATTTTTACAATGAACCGGCCTTGTCCCTTATATAGGGGTTGGTCTTGCCCTCTACAGGCCTTTCTCCACGTCCAACTCGGGGTAGAAACCAAAGGAAACCCGAAACATGCCTTCCCGAGCAAGGAAACCTCGAAACCCGACGCAACAGAATCGGACTCGGGCCTGCCGGTCAGACCGGCCACACACCGCCGGTCTGACCGCCCAACACACGGCGGTTAGACCGGCCTACCTCGAAGGAAACCGGTAGACTTCCAAATTTTGGCAATAATTCCTATTTTAAGCCTAGGTGCCAAATTTGGGTGTAAACAGTTGTGGGTTAATCTCTGTCTCCCTCTCTGTTTAATTCTTGCGATTAATCTCAGCCCCTGTTCAGAACTTTGCAATAAAGTTACCAAGATCTTCGGAATTCTGAAATTTCCGGCCACCACAATTTTATTTGCATTTGGAATTGTAAAACCTGGCCTATTTTATTGTGCACATAAATGCTCAGTACCTCTTGCTCCCAAGTTTCAGTTAAGGATGAATTTCTCCATCTACCACCAAAATTAATTGTATCCAAGCTCTTATTTTGATGAATGATTTTACATTTTTTAGGAGGTAATCTATTTTCTATTATAAAATTTAATATATCTCGATATCTTTGGTACTAAAAGATATTAAAATTTACATTAAGAATATTTACCTTCCGGTACCTCTTAAGTACTATAGAATTACTTTACTTTCATACACTAACAGACACAGCCTAGAGGGAACATATCAATGAAAATCGATGACAAATACTTCCTCCGTCCCATAAAAAACCAACTTAGTATTAGATGTGACATATCCGAGTATTACAATCTAAGGGCATTAGCAATGTATCCTTACCAAGTAGTAAGTAAGGTGGGACCAACCAAAGCAGGTAATTGTTATTCAAGATCTCACAATGTATATAAAAATCTAAAAGCATACGGTAGTATGGATAGAGAAGAAAGATTCAATACATAGCTGAGAGAATCAATGATTTTTTATTCCTTACTAGCAGGACATAGTGCTATTGCTTGGTATTTGTTGCTTACTACCTTCACAATGTTTACTACCTAGTATTAAGGCTGCATTTATTGCTTACTACCTAGTTTTTGAGCACGTTGTGGATGCCCTAAATATACCTCTAAGCATATCTCTGTCCAGATTCATTGTACTGGAATATGTCACATCCAGTTTTAGATTCAGTTTTTTTATGACAAACGGAGTAGGCCATGTCAGCAAGACACCGGTGTCCCAGATGACATAAATCTTTTGATAGTAAGAAACTACCCCTTTTCTAAATCATGGCGCCGTGCAAAGTAACTTTGGCTATCGGTGTATGTAGCTTTGGCAACATCTTTGCCCTGTCCTAAAATACTAGAGATACCAATCATGTAGAATAACTGATCAGTATCAACAATATACATACGCCTATGAACAACAATAATAATAATAATTTGATCACCTAGTGACCATTGATATTTTTTGCCAAAAAAAAGGAATATCAAAGAGGAGCTCCTTGAATTAAGATAGAATAGGGCACAAGAACTCCATAAAAATAGACGCCAGTTTCAGATTCAAATTTAGGTGGTCTGGACCTGAGAGCTATGCTCAGTTCTCGACCATTGATATTTTGACCACACCGGCGCATTAAATGAACCTAAATTAAGCGCTCGAACTACACAAATTAATCCCAGTTTAAAGGGAGATAATTGGGACAAGTACTGAAATTTAAAGAGATATATATACCGAGGTTGACATTAGGAATGCGACATGCTTGCCTGATTGGTGGCAGCTTAATCCGCAGTTATTTCTTTATCAAGCCACTTGTGTTGAGGGGGGTTACATAATGTGATTATTGTTTAGGACTCAGTTCGTTCTTTCTTGTCCCTTCATCGCCTCACGAGTTATTGGAAAAGGTGACGCCAAGATTAATTGGAATTGGGATATGGGATCGACATGAGGAAGATGCCAAAATCAATATATTTGTTTTCTGATTATGAGAAGATGAAAGATTAGTCGGCGAGCACACTGCATTCAGAGCATAAACATATATATACCAATTGCGTGCCTGAGAATATTATTTCGCTAAGATTACCATTTTGAAATTGACAATGTTTATATCTTATTAGCACGTGTCGTGTTAACTTAGGGCATGTTTGGTACAGCTCCAACCTCTAAATTTAGCTTCAGGAGTTGGGTTTGGAGTGGAGTTGTGGAGCTGCCTAAACCCAGCTCCACATCTCTAGTTCATTTTGTGAGAGAGCTCCACCCAACTCCACTCCCATTTTTAATGGAGCTGAAACTGTTTGGCTGAGCTCCAGCTCCAGGAGCTAGAGTTGTGACAAATATGCCCTTATTCTAGCTATAAGCAGTAAAAGTGATGAGGCTATAATAATGCAACAACTAGACATGGGTCCTTGTATTAAGGGATAGTTATTTTTCAGTGATTGACGATATACCCGTTGTTATAAAATAAAATGGGACCAATCTAGAAATGACTAATTGATTTTGAATTAAGGAGGGGGTGAGGCTCGAACCCGGACCGGCTAGCCGGGAAGACCCTAGGCCTTTCTCAAGATGTTATCGAGAAGCTCGTGATAACTTCATCAATCTGAAGATGTGTTGACTTTCCAAGGTACTCATAGGAGAGGATATACAGGTACGGGTGTTGCGAGTAACTGCATTTGTAATGTATTCTAATACTAATAGTAGTAGTAATAATAATAAATAATAATAACAATAATCATAATGCAAAAAAGATCAAATGGAAATTTCAACTTTCAAGCGATTTTTTTTTAAAAAAAAGCAGCTGCCTTGCCATCTGAATTTTCGAAGCTGTGATTGATTTCAGCCCAATTAGAGTTGGACTAGGCCAAGAAAAGTTGCTCGTTTTCGCACAACCCAAAAGGGCCTCTAGAGGGGTCACAAGGCCTAGTGTTTTACTGGGCTATTAAGGATGGCGGCCCATACAATTTTAACTCCTCTTCTCAAAAAACAATTTTCCTCTTATTTCTCCTCTCTTTTGTTCTTTTTTTTTTTGGACTTCTTTCTCGCGGAGGTCTTTCTGCGGATAAGGCGAAGCGCGTTTGATCGTCGCTTTCAGATTTTTGGTCGTGGGAACTTGACAATCCAGATCGCTTTTGTTCCTATAGCATCTTCTATATTTTTTCCCGAATTTGAAATTCTATCCTTTTTTTTTTCTCCCGTCGTTTTACGTGAATTCTGCCCTTACTTTTGTTGGGTTTTTGCTTTTGGATTGACTTTTGGTGCGTTCCATAAACAGTACGCTCTGATAGATCCATGAACCGTGTGTTCTCTGACTCCTACATCGAGGGGGAAATTTAGTTGGGAGAAGGAAAGGAAGTTCTACTTGGATCAATAAGTTGCGCACCAAGTGTTCGGCGTTTTGTGTCTAAGAAGTTGGTTGGGCTTTGCAGTGCTTCTTCAGTAACTCTGGATGCAATTTCTTTTAGTTTTGGTTCATGTCTTACTAGGTTTCTTGTTCTCCTTCTTTATCTATAGTAGTATGTGAAATCTAACAGGATCGAAATGTATTAATGGGAATTGGGGATATGTAATGCTGAAAATGGTGGAAAGGTAGCTACAGATCTAAAGAATCAATTTATCAGTCCTATGGCTGATGGTTTCTAGCAAATCGGTCCTGCATTCAATATCCTATGGAAAATTTGTAAACCTTGAATATTTAATTTAGACTTCACACGAATTGCAGAGCTGCATGCTATGACAGTAGTAGTTTTTATTTTTCTTTTCTAATGCTTCTTGGGCATAATATTATCATCTCTAGGTTGAACTATTGATTCCCTCCCTGACCGTCGTTGCCCTTGCTTTTGAGTGTTTGAAAGAGTTCATGCAGCTAGTCCTTTATATTCATAAGCACCCTTTGCTAAATTAAAAGTGCAACTGATTTGCTATATTTTCCAATCTTCTTTAGATATATTTTAGGTGCGGTTCTGAAATCTCAGTCATTTTTTGTTGATTCTTTTCTGAAAATATTATTTTCTGAAAATATTAATTTTCAGCAACTTGTTCTCCTTAGTTGATAGCATATACGGTACATATGATGATGTATGAGCATTCGAAACTACGTATGGGCATTTAAAACTAAGAACTAACTTGTGGTTTTCTTGTGACTTAGAAACCCTGAGTTGCATTATTAGGTTCTGCTATCTTATGATTCTATTTTGAATTCTCTCTCTTTTTCGCTTATTTTTTGCCTGTGTCAAATAACCAAACAATTTTAGATAATCAGTAGGTATGTCTACTAATTGGTCGGTCAAGTCAACCTGGTGGGTCTGTGTCTGTTACTCTGTCTATTTATCAACTTGAGGGCTGTTGCATGAAAAGAAATTGAGAATATAGACAAACACAATTGACTTTTGGGGCTCAGATTCACACTTGTTGTGTCACTGTCACCCTAACAGGCACACCTACAAGATTACTTCCTCTGCTTTCCAACACCTTCCTTGATCCCATAACATTTGCTTCTTTCTTTGATACCTTGATTTCAGTTGCACTATCAATTCTTCTTGATTCTTCTTTGTATTTGGATTTCTTGCTATCAGCAGGAACTCTCTCTCTCTCTCCAAAATGGGCACTGAATTAACTGTTACAGGATGGTTCTTGTCACCTATTATACGGGAAATGCAAGATACTGCACTGTCCTACATAAGGGGGCAATTCAGTTGGGAGAAGGATCAAGAAAAGGACCTTGAGCGTCTTGATACTATCCTTACAGAGATCTTGGCCATCGTGGACGCCATCGAGAAGCGGGAGATCAAGGATGGGAATCAGAGGAAGCTGCTCCGGAAGCTCAAGGATGCCATTTACAGCGCCGTTGATGTGCTTGACAGCTTCCAGTACATGGCCCTCAAGTCTAAAGTCGACAGCCAAGCTATGGTGAGTCGCGTTACCTCATCCTGTGTTTACTTGGGTAAGCGCGTAGTAGGTACTGATAAGTTCCGGAGGAAGCTAACCGATATGTTGAAAAAATTGGATGAGGTTAAAACAACTGCGGATACCTTGTTCAAATTGGTTAGTTTTGATAGTGCTACTGCAAAGCTGCTCCCAGTCACACAGGCACGTGTAACGTCTCCTTTGAAGGAAGAGAACCACATATATGGTAGAAAAGATGATCTTGATAGGCTGAGAGATTTGTTGCTTATGCAAAGTGATAGTAGTGCACCTGGACCTAGTAACTCATGTGTTCCTGTTATATCCATCATTGGTGTTGGTGGGATTGGGAAGACAAGCCTAGCACAATTAGCTTTCAGAGATGAAAGGATACGTGCGAGCTTTGGTCTCAGGATCTGGGTTTGTGTATCCGATATTTATGATGAGATAACATTGGCAAGGGATATTTTAGAATCTGTAACAGGTGAAAATTATCGCAGTGTTACTAAATTGGATGAATTGAAGAATGTTCTTCAAGAAAAGATAAGTCAAAAGAACTTTTTTCTTGTATTGGATGATGTATGGTATGATGAGAACAGGACAAATTGGGAGAATGAATTAGTATGGGACGGAGTTTTATCAACATTGGATACTGGACTGGGAGGATCCAAAATTCTGGTGACGACTCGAACCAACAAAGCCAGTGAACTCCTACGTGCTGGAGCCTGTTTACAATTAGGGGGATTGAATAGAGATGATTACTGGATGTTATTCAAAAGCTGTGCCTTTGGTGAGAAACATCCAGGACTGTTTCAAGAACTTAAGGAAATAGGAATGCAGATTGCTGAAAGATTGAATGGTTTGCCCTTAGCAGCAAAGGTAATCGGTCGCCTATTGAATGTTGATTTAGATTCAAGTCATTGGAAGAAAGTGCTAGAGAGTGACATATCAGGTGATGTTATGAAGGTTCTCAGGTTGAGTTACCAACACTTGCCCATCCACTTGCAACTATGCTTCAGCTTCTGCAGCTTATTCCCGAAGAACTGGCGTTTTGATCCCAGGAGGCTTACAGACATGTGGATTTCACAGGGTTTTGTTCAGAAGGAGGATGAGTCTGACAATGACATGAATGTTGAAGATGTTGCGAAGGGCTACTTTAATGATCTTGTACAAAGATCATTCTTCGAGAGATCTTTGTTAGACCTTCCAATAGAGTATGTCATGCATGACTTGATCAATGACCTTGCCAGGAATGTTTCAAAGGACGAGTATACCAGAATTGAGAGTGAGAAGCAAAAGGAGATCCCACCAAACATTCGCCATTTATCTATATCTGCACATTTGTGGGCCGGTATGAAGAAAACAGAGATGAAAAACCTGCGCACGTTACTTGTTTGGAGCAAATCATGGCCTTGCTGGAAATTGTCCCTTCCAAATGATGTGTTCAAGAAATCCAAATACATCCGAGTGCTAGATTTGACTGGTTGTTGCCTGGAGAGGTTGCCAACATCAGTGAAAAATTTGAAGCATTTGCGCTATCTTGCTTTTAGGGTTCCTGAAAAACCATTGCCCACAGCATTGGTCCAACTTTATCACCTAGAGGTTCTAGTCACAAGAGGTCACTCTTGTCGGGGAAGTGAATGTTTCCAACTTCCAACAAACATGAAGAAGAACCTACTCAAATTGAGAAAAGCTTACCTTTTCAATGTAGGGGGTGCCACAATATCTGGTTTTGGTGGACAAACTCTTCTGCATGGCCCAGGGGAATTCCATGTCAAGAAGGAGAGTGGGCACAGACTTGGAGAGTTAAAGGAGATGAACAATATCCGAGGAAGATTAAGTGTTAGGTTTCTTGAGAACGTGGAACATCAGCAACAGGCTGTTGATGCGCACCTAGATTGTAAAGAGCACGTCAAACACTTGCAGCTAGAGTGGAGTGACCTTCCAAGGCCTATTACTTCTGAGTTGGATTCTGATGTGCTTGAGGCCCTTCGACCTCACCCTGATCTTGACCGGCTGAATATCACAGGTTACAAGGGACTGAGGTCACCTACTTGGTTTGAGACCAATTGGATGAAAGCACTGACTTCTGTAATCCTTGAGAATTGCATGGGTTGGGTGCAATTGCCTCCTCTTGGACAGCTTCCTCTACTGGAGGATCTTGTACTGAGGAACATGCATGCTGTTGGGCAGATAGGTGAAGAATTCTATGGGAACGGTGAAATGAAGGGCTTTCCAAAGTTGGAAGAAATAGTATTTGATGGCATGCCCAACTGGGAGAAATGGTCTGGAATTGAAGATGGTTCATTGCTTCCATGTCTCACAAGACTTTACATAGCTAAGTGCCCTAAGCTTCAAGAAGCACCACCCTTAAATGCAAGACCAAAAGTTGAAGTGGCGATAACATCTGATTCCTTACCAAGTTCGTGTCTATTTGACTCCCTAATGGCATCGGCATCGTATCTGATCTTACTTGTCAACTGCTGCAGCTTCTTGAGCAGCCTGAATACTGACCAACTTAGTCATGTTGAGGAGTTGAACGTGAAGAGCTGCACAGATCCAATGCCAGCTTGTGGATTTATCGGACTTAGCTCCCTTAAGGTGCTTAGAATCAGCAACTGTTCAGCGTTACTATCGTCAGTTTGTGTGGAAGCAGGTGAAGAACTTGACACATGTTTTTTCCCTCAGTCACTAAGTGAACTTGAAATAGTTGATAGCAATATTCAGTCCAGTTTGCTACCAAGATACTTGCAAGGCCTAACTAACCTCTCGGTGCTGGTGATTAATAGCTGTGATTCTATGGATTTGCTATCTCTTGCTTATGGAACCCATCACCTTACTTCTCTAGAAGCCATAATCATTAAAGACTGTATTTTCCTATCCTCATTGGATGGATTTGAAAATCTGATTGCTCTCAGAAAGTTAGTGGTAGCAGATTGTAAAAATTTCTGTTTCTTGCCAGCTGATCTGAATGCATTAATATCTCTCAAAACATTAGCCATTTATGGGTGCCCTAAGATGAAATTTCTCCCCCAGAATGGCGTACCAGCTTCTCTACAGTTAATTTTGCTGTCACTGTTGCATCCAGAGTTAGACAGACAGCTTCAAAGGAGGGAAGGTACTGAATGGGACAAGATTGCTCATGTTCCTGAAAAGAAACTAGAGGTATGCAGTGCTTGTTATTTATTTCCATCGTATTCTGATGGGGTTCGTTGTTCATATCGCCTTACTTACTGTATGTAGTGTTGTGTCATGTAAATATATGTGTGGTTGTTGCTCAAGCTGCATTATTATCAGTGATTCAGTGTTATGAATCATGATCTACAAATAAGTGTCAAGTATCTCAGTTTGCTATTTGATTTGCAAATTCTTCTGGAGATGTTTTTGGCAAAAATATCATGAAGTTTCATAATGGCACACCTAAGTCCTAACTGTCTTAGCATATAGTTCCTTGACAGAGTTCAGTCTTGTACTAATACTTAACCTCTTGCAGGTAGAGCTAATTGATTTGTTGACACTGTTTCCATCCAGTTCTTTCTGACGAGTGTTGTCATTTTTGGACGTGTGGTATGCCTTCCTGAACCACTCTACTACATTTACTTCAACCGAATAACTACTAGTCATGTAAGTATGTGACTTTAATTATTCTATGGGGACCATGGGGTTGGGAGCATAGCAAAATTTTCATAAGCTTTTGTTTCATTACAGGCTCACAAAAACTCATATATGGGCATTACTACCTTTGCAGTTTATCAGTGCCAAACTGCCAATTCCTGAAGTAGAGGTTGTTTCAAGCTGAATGCTATTTAGACCATTTTGAATGGTACGCAACATCTCAACTAGAAAAACTCTAAATGTCGTGTATAATGAACAGATTATAAAGTGACTATGTCATTTGTTTTCCTTTGTTTTCCTCTCTTAGAATTCAAGCAGTTGAACTCCTGACAACTCTCTATTACAGTCATTATCATAACTTTGGCAAGCAACTTTGACCAACCTAGTCTAGTGTTTGTTTTGTTGCGATATGTTTGTCATGCCACACTTTTCGGTTGTGTTCCACTTGTCATAGGCTCATCTTTACCAAAACATAGCTAACTTATGGCCAATAAGTTTTTAGCCACATAAATTGCGGTATGCCCTACCTTAACTACGGGCATGTTTGGAGGAGTTTTTGCCGCTACAGTTTCTCCTAGAATTTTCAATTGGTAGAAACTCCTTTAAATAATCTAGATTTTTATCCAGATTTTGAGAATCTATAGTTGTAGAATTCAGAAAAATGAACTCGAAACCAGAAGCTAGAAAGCCCATCTTTTCTAGATTTTCACCAGCTGATTTTTCATCAGCTAATTCTCATAATCTTAAGCTACCCAAAAAGGCTCTATAAAAGTTAGGTAAATAGAAACAAGCAACCAAACAACTCTTAGTCTTTCTGTACTATGAGTGATTCAAAACTTAGACGTTGATCTAACTTTTGTATTAACGGGTGAGGTAATGTCCTAGTCATGTCATGTTCTTTTCTCATTAAGATTCAGATTTTACCTTGGTTTCCGTTAGTACAATTTTCAAACTACTAAACGGTTCGTTTCATGTGAAAACTTTATATATAAAAATTGCATTAAAATGTTAAATATATCCATTTGTCAAGTTTGTAATAATTAAAACTTAATTAATCATATGCTAATAGCTTTCTCGTTTCACGCGCGTCAACTTAATCTTTACCTTCACCAGTCCCGTCTCTTCTTTCTGTAGATTCTCTTGGTCCTCTTCAATCTTCCTGTCAGTGCTAGTCTTTTTGACCCTGAGATTCTTGAATTCCCAAGCATGAAGCCAAAAAATTGCTGAGAAATTTGTATCCGTACTTTTGAGATTGTGACAACCTGTCGATGGAACTGATGTTTTAAGATCGTAGAGGTTTACAATCTCACTCAACTATCACAGTGCGAATGAAACTAATTAGCTAGAATAATAACCCAAGGTTAGGTGCGAAAACATTTCCCGTCGCTTTCTTTAGCAGAATCGTTTTCCCATTCTTCGTGTATATAACTACTTGGCGGTACAGGCCGCATATCCTGGAGGGGGAATTCGGGGTCGGATTTGCTATTTCACTTTCGATTTTTTTTGTCCGTAGAGTCTTACATTAAGATTTGTGTTCCTGTAGATCCAACTTATACTTATACTCAGTTGCATACCACTTAAATTTAGTTACAGTGCGCCAAAATTAGATTTTACAACTGCTTTTGTCTCGATATTTTTGGCATGTTTGTCCCTTTTTGTTTATTTCGTTCAAAACAGGCTGTATCCGCTGGTTAAAAATTTCTTTAAGATTAAAATCTCAAAATCTGCCAATCTTTTTAAACCGAAGCCAGCATTTGCTAGTGTTATATTAAGTAGGATAGAAATTATTTACAAACTCACCAAAGGTGAAAGAGATAAAGCTGAAAAGAAACTGAAAAAGAAGGGAACAACAAGAAAACCCGACAGCCTCGCATGTGTTTTATTGGGACATTCTCGCAATATCTTTGGTGCCGCACATAATCCACACCTTGATCTCATATGTGATTTTGGTCACTAGTTGAGGCAATTCAGTCTCCTGATTGCGGAACAGTCATTTGTTTCGTTCACACCAGATTTTCCAAGCCACCATCATATGAATTGATTTCATTGCTTTCATTTTGTGTTTTTCCCCTTGGGATGTCCACTTGATCCATCAGTCAAGCAGTGGCTCATCGCCATCGTATGTGTTTAGTGTCTCATGTCCCAGCTGTTGAAAGATCTTCTCCCAGATTTGGTGTGCGAAGGTGCAGTCCTTGAAAAGGTGTTGTGCCGTTTCAAGGTTTTCATAGCAAAGCTGACATAAATAGTTGTTCGGCCATTGACGGATTTGCAGCCGATCCGCCATCCAGATTTTGTTTTGAAGGAGTCATGTGAAATATTTGCATTTTGACGGTGCCCATCCTTTCTATATTAGCTTTGCCACTGCTGAGTCAATCCTCCAATTGAATTGTGCCATGTATGCCGATTGTGTGTTGTATATGCCACTATTTGTCCATCGCCATCTTATGGTGTCTTCAACTCCATCAGTTAGGGTGACATTTCTTCTCCATATCTGTAGGAACACGTCGAAGAATTCTTTAACAAGTTTAACTGCCGAAAAATCAATAGGTTAGTCCCCTCAGGGTTGAGTAATATGCACACTTTCCTGTTCCTAAAAAAAGCTAGTACTCATCAACTTGTTAAAATACATCTGTTAATCTGTTTAGACCCTTCTCAAATTAAGCATTAATAACTCACCCTGAAATCAACTGCTTTAAAATAGTAGTAGTCATGTTGACTTGCCGTACTTTGAGGAGGGTTTAAACAGACACAGACACTTCATCTCAGAGGATTAATTAATGGCGACGAGTCCATGTGGCAGTCGGATGGGTGAGGCAAAACGCCTCTGCACCGGCAGTGCTGCTCTCAAGCAGCTGCACCACAGCACCACCCGGTGCATCGTCGGCCGGCCGGACTGCCGGGCTCGGCTCGATGCTATCGCGGTTATCGCGCTTATCATGGGGTACGGTAGGGGAAACCAGCGATATAGTTTGGATGAATTTTGATCAAATTCAAAATTCTGAAAAAAATCGAAAAAAAATAAAAAAAAATCATGGATGTAGTTCTTAATTTGTAATTACCAATAGTGAAGAATGTTTTTGAAATAGAGTAAGCTAAATTCAAATTTGAGAGCAAACCAAAACATAGTTTACAAATTGAAAAAGGGAAGAGAATATTGGGCCTTAAATATCCTACATATTCTTCCAATTATTTTTAATTTCTAGTTTTTTACACATATTCAACTGTATTTTTGATTTTTTCCCTATTTATTTTACACTTATTTTAGCTACACAACCCCGCGATAACCGTGCGAATATCGCGGTTATTGCGGTAAACCATGCGATTATCATGGTGAAACCACGAAACCGCCGAGTTTTTTTTTTCGAATTTTTGGATGTGATTTTTGTGCGATTTTAGGCAATTATCACGGTTATCGCGTTACCGCGGGGTGACGATAACCCCGACCCAAACGATAAGGTAAACCCTGTGCACCATATAGTGCAGGTGCCACGCTCGCGGAACCTCTCCACCTTCTCTAGGTCAAATGCCGTCACATCGTCGTCGTCACCGTGCAGCATGAGCTCTGTACCCTCCCCGTGCACACCAGCTGACCGGCCCACCCGAAAAGTGTGATCACTGTGTCGGTGTTGCTGTCATGGTGATGGGGGTGGTGAAAAGTTTGATAATTTAACATTTTTTTCGTTGTCCAATTGCTTTAATTGACACTTGTGAGGATGACATGTGGAACCATATGAGTGAATGAAAGTATGCCAGGATGTCAAATAACAACAGCTCATATCTAGCAGAGAAAATTGGAATTTTGCCATTGTCAAAACGGGGTTTCGCTGAAATGCCACTCCCAAAAGTGGTAACCTCAAACAAGGGCAACATGTTGCAATGCCATTTGATCCATTTCTTCTCAGTTTAATGATTTTTGTAATGTTTATTCTTGCTGAGATGACCAAAATACCCTTGGATCCTATCTTATCTCTCCCTCTGTCTCTTCCTCCTCTTCGGCGTGGCTGGCCAGGGACGGCGGCGGCGCGGCTGGGGACGGGGACGGGGACAGCGCCGGCGTGGGTGGGGAAGGCTGCTCGGCTCAGTGGTGCGGCTAGGGACAGGGACGGCGGCAGCGCGGCTAGGGACGGGGACGGCGCCGGCGTGGGTGGGGAAGCCGCGCCGCCGCCATCCCTGCCCTAGCCGCACCGCCGAGTCGAGCCACGCCGGCACCGCCCACCGTCTGCAACGGAGAGGAGAAAGAGAGAAGGAGAGATGAGATAGGATCCAAGGGTATTTTGGTCATCTCAACAAAAAAAAATTACAAAAATCATTAAAGTGAGAAGGAATGGATGAAATGGCATTGCAACATGTTGCCCTTGTTTGAGGATGGCATTTTAACGAAACCACTTTTGGAAGTGGCATTCCAGCGAAACCCCGTTTTGACAATGGCAAAATATCAATTTTCTCTCTCTAACAGCAGGACACCGAAGCTTTACATGTATGCCTTGGTATGTATGTGCACATCGCCGTTGGAGCCACTCTGGCGCGATGTACTCTGTGGTACCCCTCACATCGGTCACCGTGGTGTGCACGGTGTGGTCGTCGAGGAGCTTAGCGATCCCCAAGCAGTGATCCTCGAGTTGTTCATGTCATCAAGGTGTATGTTGTCTGGCTTGATATCACAGTGGGTGATCAGTGAGTAGTACCCTTCGTGTAGGTACTCGATCCCCTTGGCGATGCCGAGTGCGGCCTCTCTACGCTAGCTCCATGATGGCCTGAAGAGGACGCCGCGGAGCGAGCCGCCTAGCATGAACTTGAACACTAGCATCCGCTCAGTGCCTTCGGTGCATGTATCCGATCATGTGGAGTAAGTTCCAGTGGGGGACCTCGTTGGTGAACTCCCACTCGTTGCACACATTTGAACCAATCAGTCTCTAATTCACCGGATGAGCCGTGGCTCCGACGATCTCACCGTCCCTTGGTACACCCCGCCAAAGCTTCCTTTGCCAAGCAGCTTCAAAAATCCATTGGTGGTTTGGTGGAGCTTTTTGCTGCTGAAAGCTCTCACGCTCGTCATTATCACCAATTGCCGGCTCTGTGTGTACTTACTGAGCCAGTTGTGTGCCAGAAAGCCTCCGACGATGACGGTGGCTAGCAACATGAAGGACAAACAAACGGTGGCGAGTAAGTGTTGTCCAGGCTATTGTTGGTGACGAGGTCGATGTTGCCGTCGGTCCGGATGCCATGCTGAAGCGATCGGTGGTGGGAGTACTTGTGTTTGGATTGTGTTGGTTGGGTGAGATTATGTCAAAAAATGCTAATTCACACGTGCTTTCGTTCACTACGAATAGTTCCCAGCAGTCATTGTTTGCGATCCGTGGTGCAACTGGTCGATTCAATTCCCAGATAGATGAGGGTTACAAGGTAGGTGGGAAGTGCGGCTAGAGGGGAAGGGGAAGTGGGGGAGAGGACGGATGATGGCAACAAGGCAGGGGGTGGGGTTGGAGAGATGGAGAAGGTGGTTTGGAGAGCTGTTTGAGCTATCAGCATCATCGAGGAGGTCGAGCTCATCGGTGTTGTTAGGGACTTTTCTAGCACAGAGTGACAAAACCATCTTGATTTTTTCTAGGCGTACTTTCTCGTGTGCAGATAACATTGGAGTTGGCGAGAGGATAAGGTGGAGCGGGACATAGGTCGTGGGCAGGAAACACATGCGGTGAGGTGGGACGTGTGCGATACTTATGCATGCCATGAGCTTTTATGAATTAGCATCACCCGAGATCGTGAGCTTTCACAATTTTAAACCATACTTTCCATCGACAGGTCATCACAATCTCAAGCACATATACAAATTTGTCAATAATTCATGGTTCAATGCTTGGGAATTTCAAGAAACGGGGGGGGGGGGGAGGGGGGTTAAGAAGACTTGCACACAAGAGAGTTCAAGAAGGCCAAGAGAACCCTAAACTCATATTCTTTCCACAGTGGTGTTTCATTGACAATTTTGCTATATTTTTGGCATCCCTTGATTGTAGTTATTTTGTCAAACCTTCATTCAGGGAGAAATCAAATCGAGTTCAACTGGAGATTAGGAAAGAACCTGGGAGCATGTGATTCCATAGAGATAGGCAACGATGTATCCGTGGAGCTCGGAAATTGAGGCAGTGCATGGACCTCAACCGAACCCTCCAGCATCTGCACCACCTGATGCATCGTCGGCCGAAGTGATGGATTCCTCTCGATGCACATGAAAGCCACGCGAGCAAAGCGCTCCACCCTCTCCAGATCCTCCATGGCATCGTCGTCGCTATGCGGAAGAACCTCAACTCTGCCATGCTTGACTAGCTGGCCTGCCCATCCGAACAATGTGGCGGAATCATCCTCGCCGTCCTCACCATGGCCGGATACCGGATCCTGGCACCTTCTGCAACATATCATATCCAGTAGCACGACACCAAAGCTGTACACGTCTACCTTGGTGTCGATGCACCTCTCGCTATGAAACCACTCAGGGGTGATGTAACCTCTGGTTCCCCTAACATTGGTCACTGTCGTGTGTATCTATTGGTCGCCAAGTAGCTTGGCGATCCCAAAGTCGGTGATCTTGGGGTTGTTCTTGTCATCCAACAGTATGTTGTCGGGCTTGATGTCACAGTGGATGATAGGAGAGGTGCACCCTTCGTGCAGGTACTCAATCCCCTTGGCAATGCCAAGTGCGGCCTCGGTGCGCCAGCTCCATGGTGGACGTGGAGTCTGGAAGAGGATGCTTCGGAGGGAACCACCCGGCATGAACTCGAATACCAGCATCCGCTGCTCCCGCTCCTTGCAGTATCCAACCATGCGGACTAGGTTCCGGTGGTGGATCCGCCCGATGGACTGCACCTCGTTCAGGAATTCCCTCTCGCTGTACTCGTTGGAGGTGATGAGCTTCTTCACCGCGATGTCAGGTGGTTGCAGTGACTTGGCCATGCCATGGTAGACCTCGCCGAAGCCTCCCCCTTCCCAGCGACCTTTGGAACCCATTGGTGGCTCGGTGGAGCTCCTTTCTGGTGAAAACCCTCACAGTGTCATGGTTGGTGATGTTAATTCTTCTGATGCGCCAGTGCACCAGAAGGATGGTCGCCGCGGCCGATAGGAGAAGCGCCGAGCATGCGAGGAGTATGTACGGCAGCGGCGGCGCTCTTCTCCGAGGGCTGCTCGTCCGGACCTTGATCAGCGCTTTCGTCATAACGTTTCTCCCTTGCTGTCCGGAGCCCGTGAGCGACGCCATCTTGGTGCAGCGCGTTGCGTCGGGCTCGAACAGCGCCGCCACGCAGAAGCAGTCGCTCAAGCACATGTCGGCGCACCGCTCCTCCGCCGTGCGCTCATACATCACGTACGGCGAGGCCGTCCAGGTGGTGTTGGGCAGCTTGGTAATCCCGAATTCGGCCGTGCTGCTCACCACGTCGCAGCTCTGTGGCGCGAACAGCGGCCGGCAACCCATGTACCGTAGCTTCGTGTCGACGGAGGAGTAGCCGGTCGGGCACGCGCAGTCGAGCCGGCCGTCGTCGCCGGACACGCAGTACGAGTTGGGGCCGCAGAAGCCGTCCAGGGCACGGGTTGACATGCCACAACCTACGGCAGGGAACAGATCGGCGACGGTCCACGACGCGTTGGCGGAGCTCCTCGGCCGGATGTACACGCGGACGATGCCGTCCAGGTCGAGCGTTGCGCGCCGGTAGCTGCCGCCGGCGGTGGAGATCGCCACGGGAGGTGTCAGGTCGTACAACGAGCCATTCTTGATCTGGTATTGGATGCTCCCCGTCGAGGCGAAGAAGAGAGTCGTGTTGCCGTCCGGGGTGTTGCCGGGCTGTTGGGTCCGGGTTGCCCAGTACGCTTTGCTGGAGTCGGCATTGCCGCCGCCGGCGAGGTTTATGAGGTACAGGACGATGTTGCCGTCGGCCTGCACGAAGAGGCCGAAGCAGCCAGCGGAGAAATCCGCATCCAAGCGCTTGGACCGAAGGATTGCTCCAGCGCCCATGGACTGACCAGGGAGGAGCGTGTCGGTCGGGTGCCGGAAGCTCTCCCACACCACGGAGTTGTCGCCGGCGGCGAGGAACTGGAGGTTGCCCGAGTCCAGCAGCACGAGCAAGAACCCGTTCGGCTGTCCTGGATTCGAGCTCGTCCAAACGTTGCCGCCCACGCCGCCGCCGGTGGTGGTGTCCGCGAGGAGGAGCTGGCCGAGGGTGACGCTGAACACGGACTGCGCCGTGGCTGTCACTGCCGACGCAGAGCTCGGATCCGTCGCGTACCATACCACCACCGCCTTGTGCTCGTCGTCGTCGTTATTGAACCATACGGCGAGGAGGAACAGGCCGGCGTCGATGGCGCGGAAGCCGAAGGCGAAGTCGTCGGACGAGCTGGTGATGTACTGAGGAGGCCTCAGAGTGGATCCGGCCGTGAGGTTGAGGTTATCCGCTTCAAGCAGACGGGGTTGGTGGTGCAGCACGATCAGCAGCAACAGCAACCGAGCGAACGACGAGAGGGACATTCCTGCAAATGGCTTCATTTCTGCTCTCAATAAAGCTACGGCACGCGCGCCTTGTTGTGATGAGTTGTAGTAATACGCTTAATAGGTTTCCTCATAGGCATGCAACCTTGCATTGCCACAACGGATTTGCTATACTACTGTCGACAGTTAACAGGGGTGAAAACTTTCAAATTTTAAGCCGTCTAATATGCTGGACTGCTGGTGAAGGAAAACGAAAAAAAAATCAGACGCGTACAGCAGGTATGGAATCGAACCCAACACCTCCAACTTGGATTTTTTTCAACTAACCAATTGCTCCATCATGCTTTTTTGAGTTACACTTGAGTTACATATCAATTACATAGTAGTTACATAGTAGTTACAACGTAATTACATAGTAGTTACATTTGAAAGTTTTTCATCCCAAAAACTGTCGACAGTTCTATAGCTACTCCCTTGGCACAATTCTACATCAATTTATTGCTGACAGATTAATATGAAA